ATTTCGCCAGTATTTTAGGTGTGTGCATACAAATTATGTGACTGTTGTTAACTGTTGCGCCGGGGCGTGTGAAACGGAAATGTCTGGCTGTGTTAGGTTCTGAGAAATGAACTTTCGACACGAACTATTTGCGAATTGGCGACAAATGCCAAAATCCAGCAGCACGGAGGTCAATGTAAGACACACAAGACACAGCTACTTAGTTGCAATTATGCTCAGTTACAGATACAGATACTTAGATACTTAGATACTTATTGCTTTGGCAAGTCGTCGCCTTACGTTTTTCTTTTTCTACTCTTGTTGAAGACTTTGCAGGAAGCGTTTATTTTGGCTTGGTTTGGATTAAAAATTTAACGGCTTGTTTTGTGGGAACCGGTATGCAAAAATTTACCAATTTTGGTTTTCGTTTTTTATTTTGGTTTTTTTCTTTGAATGGGACGCGCAACGACGCGGTACGAATTCACGCTGCCCGTTAACCGTTAGGCGTGATGCGTTGCGTATACGCCTGACCTGCACACAATGAACGCCGAACAACAACTGAAACGTTTCGTGCCGACGCGCTGTCGTGTTGCCCAAGCAGCATGCGTACAGGGTGTCGCAAACCAGTTTTGCGTACAGCGTGCACGCTCTCTTAGTCACCCTAAGAGAGCGCGAGAGAGAGCTAGCACGCTGTGCTGGGCGAAAAGCGAAAGCCGCTGGCCAATCAGCGTCGGGCAAATACACGTGCTTGGCGCTTCGCGCTTGGCCCAAACGCTGCGGCGATTCTCTGTTTTGATTTTCCAGCCGCAGCACTTGGCGCGCTGAGCGTTGTTTGCACCTGCCCGCACTCTTAGCCAAAGACTCAAGACTTGTTACGGGCTTTCAAGCATTGTCTTTAAACAATTGAGCGTCAAAAGTTTGTTTAAATAATTTGCTTATTAAACACGTTTGCGCTCAGTCTAGACATTATAATTAAGATAGTAATGCGTGACATAAATTAGACAAATAATTAGACAAATATTATCAGTACTTCTTTTTTAATAAAATCTCTTAATTTCGTTCTGTTTAAATGCCAGGCAAACTTGTTCCGATTTTGAAATAATTTTAAAAAGATAGAAATAAAATTCTAAATTGACTTTTTTTTACAATATTCTAAATATTCAGCTAGCTTTCTCAGGTATCTCAGACTTGGATTATTTCGCAAAATCTCTGCAAATCTAATAAATATACCCGATTCTCTTTATGGTTAACCCAAATCAACGCTGACTTAAGGTCTTCTTTGCATATTTTAGGCACTTTTTTTCACCCCACCGAAATTCCTGACATAAGCGAGATTACAAAATATTTGACGGCCTTACAGTTGCCACAATCACAAATACAAGCACACACACACACATATGTTGACGGTGGCTTATGTACGTAAGTACTGACAACTCACTCGCAAGGTATTCACAAATATTCACGCGTAACTCAACGTTGTCTATACATTCAGAGGTGTGGCAAGTGTGTGCAAATAGTATTCATGAGGTATCTGCAAAAGCTTTGCGGCCACCATCAATGGAATGCCAACCACAGAAAAAAGGATGAAAGACCGTGCAAAAAGGATATTTTGGCAACAACGAGATCTGCTGCATTTGGGGTAAGTGTTTTGTATATATATCCGCAAACTGAACTCAATTGACAAAAATTCTAATCGAACTCAAATATTTGTTAAACTTTAACTGCACTGGCTGCAGGCAATAATGACAAAAAGAACAGCGTAGAACACTTTCAGCAAAATTAAAAACCAAAGTGAAAAACTTCAACTGGCTGTCGCGTTGTTGGCAACGTGCGAAAATCCTGTTAGCAACTTTTTTTCGGGGTAGGTCACTTTTTTAATTAAAAGCGCCGGCGCCTGGTAAAAAGCCCGAACCGTATTGGCAAACAGTTTAACAGCTTAAATCAAAAGTTTTTTGGCCAGAAAACAAAATTAAGTTAAATATACATACGAATCCGGCTTTAAAATCCCAGCCGGAATGCGTGCCTCAAAATGCGTTCAATCATGGCCTCTAACGAGAGTGCGTGCCCTTAAGAAAACTTCCGTGCTTTGTCATTTTTACCCAACACATTGTCAAAAAGGAAAGCAGCAGCAGCAGCAGCTGAAAGAGTCCTTTAGGATCCTCACTTAGCAGCGCCAACAGCCCATCGATGTTGTAACTTGCCAAGTGGCTGGCAAACTTTTTTCTTGCTTACCTCGGGCAAACTTTGTCGATTGTCCTGCGTGTGTGTGCGGCTGTGTGTGTGTGTGTGGGCGTAGGCGTGTGTATGTGGGCGTGCCAAATGCCAGGCGTTAAGCCTCAAATCAGCTGTTAAAGCTTTAAAGCCCCAGTCAAATCAATTAATAGCCCGGCTCGTACTTTTTAGCAGACACAGCTGCGCCTAAAAGCATGCTGCAAAAATCATTTGTCAATATAAATGAATGGTAATTCATAATGGGATATACTAGAATATAAAACGCGTCCTCGGCTGAATTGCCTTATGGCATGCACATACACATATACACTTTTACACAAGCACACACACAGTAGATACATGCTGAAATTAAATGTATCAGGGTGCCAACATAACCTATTAATACAAGTCTTTTAATCAAAACACGAAACCCTGTAGGGCCTACTACAGTCCACGCGAATAATGCCCGTCCGAAGTCTTATTTAGGAAACAATTTCGTAGCGAATCTCTCTTGAATGTTCACAAAAAGATTTGTTAGCAGATCGGATGGTTAGCAAAACAGATTTATGCAACTTTTTTCGACCGCGTGTTGATCACCAATCAATCAGTCAGTCAATCAGTCAGCAAGGATAATGACTCTTAAATATGTTCATATAGATACATGAAGCTCGCTCGACATTAACTTAAAGTGCACATATACCGCATTAAAGCCCAGCTGAGCTCAGCACTCGGCATATTTGATAAGCCCCGTCGGACAGCAGGCAGCAGCTGATAAAAACCAATAAATTTATTGTCAGCCTTTGCCTTTGTGGCTGCTGCTGTTATTTTATCCATGCTTCGTTAAATTTACGTTAATTTATGTGGGCGTGGCCCTGGGGCAATGCGCAAATGACACACAAAATGACTTTGATAAACGCAATTGTCTAGCAAATGGCAGGAAGGTTCGTCTTAAGAGCCGGTCCAAATTAAAATGTACGCTCTCAGGCTTTAGGGCTTCATGTCGCTGGTAAAATCAATCAACAAAGCAAATAAATACAATTAATGTTACATTACGCATACGCCTCGGTGCACAGCAGTCGCGGCAAAGGCAGGCAACCAGACGTAGTCCTCTTTGTTGTCGTGCCTTGGCATAAATTATGCTCGCAACAATTCTTTGCAGTTTTATGCATGTCAACGCGGTGCGCAGCATTCAGCTGTTGGGAGCTGGCACCAACAGCAGCAAGTCCTATGTAAATGCAAACACAACAAGCCAAGAAAAAAGTTCAGATAGTACACTCAGAAATACCCTATGGCTTGGGACGTCTTATACTTTTCGACAGCCTTCTTTGCTGCTCTTTTGAAAGGAATATACGAACGGACTTACACGCTTGCAAAAGCGTAATTCAAGTATTCAAAGCATGTTAACATGAGAAACATACTTGAATTCATGAGAATCGCATAGTAGGGCGTTATAAAAGATGCAGCTTTCTTTTACTCTCAGCTCAGCTAGAAATTCGCCTTGCTTCTCTTTGAATAATATACTTATCTTAGCAGGGCATTAAATTTGATAAACTTTAAGCTGTCACATAGACACTCACTGGCTGATCATGCCCCAAACTGCACTCGTTGAATTCGAGCATATGCGGAGCAACTGCTCTACGTGCATTTCCCATGATGACTGTGAATGTGAATAAAATAAAATAAAATAAAATATGCACTGACGTGTAAATTAATGCGTGAGTCTCTTCAAATGGCATTAAAGTATGAAAAGTAATGAATACAAGTCTATGTGTGTGTGTGTGTGTGTGTGTGTAGGTATGCGCATGAGTACGGGCATGAATACTGGCATGATTATATATGTTTTGCTAGCATTGCCCTTAGAATTTACTTATCTAATTGAAAGAGCTGCGAAAGAGGAAAACGTTAAATTAAACATAAAAAATTCAAGAAAACCAAGCGCAAACGTAGAAAATTTCAAGAGTCGTCGCAAGGGCCATAGAGTTGTTGAAAAGTTTTGCAGTGCGTTCCCCATGGAAGGATCTGAATATAGCCAAGTAAAAACTTTGATATTTCATGAGAGCAATTAAATATGTAACACAGATTAACAGCTTAAAATATGCATAAAGTTTTTCTCAAATGCGACTTGAGATATGATTAAAAAGCCAATTGGCCGCAGATTAAACTCTAGACTTATGCAAGCAAAAAGCAAGCCTCAATTGTTGCTTAATAAACGACTTTCAAGCATTTAAGCTGCTCCAAGCCATTTAGCAAAGCAAACGAAGTGCATTCTATAAGAGGATTAAACAATTTTACAGTTTTTGGCATAATAAATAATAAGCTAGGCGTTGCACAAACTATTTTGCTAAATTTATCATATTTATTAACTTTTGCGCAAGAGAAATTAATCTTGAATTGTGATAAGTGATAAGATTATATGGCTACTTCCACTGCGGGCATGGCAAATCCGTTAAATATTCATCAGATTCAAGATTGATACACAAAAATATATTGCCCAATTTAGGCAGCCCAGTTTACCCTATTCTTGCTTTGTCAATGAGTATGCTGCAGTCGGATGTACCCGACTGCAATATTCTAATTGTTTAGTCTAGCCCTGTCAGGGCTTTCATGGCCAATCACCACAATCATAAATTAAATGGCTTTAAATAACTCCATTAACGCTAAGAGTTCTTTAATGTGAGGCACTGTGAATTCGTTGTTTGACCATTAGCCGCACTTCCAAACATTTCTAACGGCCGCTAATTAACCTCGATCCGAGAGATAAGCCACGGGTACCCAAAGCTGCAGCCAAGCGGCAAACAGACTGCCGCAACATGTGGCCAGCCGTGGTTGCTCTCCTGCTGCTGGACAGTACAGGCAATCTGGCATTAACGGTAAACGAGCTGCTGAAACGCAGCCACCAGGAGCAGCATTGCGAGACGCTTTTGTTGCTCAGGCACAGCCGCCAGCTGCCCTGCAGCCAAATGGAGCAAGTGGCGGCTGCCGCCACGTGGCCCGTTCTGCGCTTTAGCAGCGAGGCGAACTTTTATCTTAAGAGCAGCCAGAGCACAGAAATGTTGGCACTAATATGTCTGACTGGGCATGTGGAGATGGATCTGGCATTGTGGCAGGCACTGGCCAACAATCTGTACAACATGCGGCATGCGCGGCTGCTCCTATTGCTGCAGCAGGCAACGGCACAGCCTTTGCAACAACAGCTCCGGGAGCTGGCTAACACTGCGCGGCAGCTGCATTTTCCTCATGTGGTGCTGCTGCAGCTGGCCACAGGCAACGCCTATCAACTGCAGCCATATGCAAAGGAGCACTGGCTACAGCTACAGCCAACTAGCAGCCCGATCTTTGCCAGGCAATACAACTACCATCGGCTGACGGCACGCACGCTGCCCGATCAGGTGTCGCCGCGTTCGCTGGGCTATCGGGATCGGAAGACCGGTGAGCTGCGCATGACGGGCTTTGTGGCCAAGCTGATGCAGGAGTTTGCGCGCGTGCACAACATCTCGTTGCGATGGCAGCGCCAGGTAATTATTGGGCATCAGCTGTCCATCATAATGCTGCGCAACATGACGCTCAATGGCACGCTTCAGCTGCCCATAACGCTGTGTGGCTACGAGCTGCCCACCAAAGAGGGCTACTACACGTATCCGTTCGATGTGGCCGAGTGGTTTGTCATAGTGCCCTGTGCCCAGGAGAGGCCCACGGCCGAGGTGTACCTAATAGTGTGCAGCTGGAACATGCTGGTTGTGCTCCTCGGCAGCTACTGTGTCTTTGCGCTGCTGGACACTTGCTTTGGCTGGCTGCTGATGCAGCAGCAGGTGGATTGGACCAATCTGGTGTTCAATGAGCGCATGATCTCGGGCATTATTGGACAGCCGTGCAAGCTGTACGCACATGCCACGAACAGCTCACGGCTGGCTCACGCCCAGCTGTTCCTGCTGAGCCTGATTTTTAGCACACTGTTTGCAGCCCAGTTGAAGACGCTGCTGACCAAGCGACCCATGGAACGGATGGTTACCACTTTTGAGGAGCTGCGAGACTCTCATTTGAGCATTCACTTTGCCGAGGGCGAACACTTCTATGTGAGCATGATGAATCTGGGCACTCCCATCGACATCATCAGATCAAAGATCACATTTCTACAGACAAACCTCTTTTATAAGGAACGCAAAAGTATGAACAAGTCGAAAGCATTCTCCATGACATCCACCGAGTGGCAGATTATCAAAGAGCAGCAGAATCTATTCCAAAGGCCTGTGCTATGCTTTCAGCCTGGTCTGATCTTTCGCTACAAGATTCTCGCCTCCGTGCCCTTGCAGGCGAACTCCATCTTCGCGGAGCCACTGGAAGAGCTCATGCTTCGAGTGCACGACACGGGACTCCTGTTGCACTGGAAGAAGCAGTCCTTGGGCGAGCTCATCGCACTTGGCGAGATCAGTGGCAAGGATCCGTATCCGTATGTGCCCTTTTACGACTTCAAGGTGGGCGATTTGTTCTGGGTCTGGCTTGGCTGGGCATGGGCCTTGTGCCTGGCATTTGTAGTCTTCTTGTGTGAGTTAATTGTTTACCGCATGAGCAAGTATTTAAATAATTAATTCCATGCAATTAGCACATGAATTAAAAATGCGATTTATTGTTAGAAATTGGCCATATTTAATTTTTCCCGCATCATAAATGCCACTCATTTTTTTAATGTACATTTCAATTTGTTAGCTAATCCTCTACTTTATTGATTTTTAATGCCGCTTCACAATTTTTTGTTTAATATTTATTGCTCGTTATTTGCGTGGATATTACGTTTTCAATATTAGCAAAATTCCATTTATTCACTAGCACAAAAAAATAATACCCTTTCAATCAAACTATTTCTTATTCAGAGTAAATTAATGTTAGACAACTTATTGATTTGTTTGCTGGGCTAAATAAAAGAATGGAATCGGGAATTCAAACCGTTTCTTAGTGGCAGCTTTGTAATCGAAAATATGACGAATTTGTGTCCAAATGGCACACGCTCTGGAATTGTGGGCCAGCTTAGGGTGTCCAGTCGATAAAGTTGACATAAATCAAACATTTTGCAAGGGGATTAGTTTCAAAGTGTCAACCGATCCAGTTACGGCCGTTGTTGACAAGGCTTAAATGTTGTCGAACCGTTTTGTTAGTTTAGTTTTTGTTTTTTCGTTTGTTTTCGCTTTTTTTTTTATTTTGGGAGCCAGGCTCATTCAATCATCGGTTGGCACAAACCAGACAGACAGCCAGCAAGGACCCGGATAATTGACGTTTACGTTGTCAGAGCATCGTTTTATCTTTTAAAATGTTGATGCGAGCGGACAGGAAAAGTTGGTTGGATTTGCTGGTTATTGCAATTTAACGCGTATTTTATGGCATCAGCCTTAGAGAGCTGACTAGCTGCCACACGCCGGAGCTGATGGCATTGATGGGCATTTATGGGCGTTTATGGCAAATCGATGCGCCAATTGGCACTTTAAACCCATTTTATTGTGCTCCGGCCCCAAAGGGAAATTCAATTTCATCCGCCCTGCAGCCAAGTGCAGCTTTGTCATGACGCACCCAAAAGGCTTGTTGCCAGCAAATCGAATTAAATGCGGCCCAAGGACCTGCACCAGGCCGTACGCCTATTATGGGAATTTCTGCCGAACATTTATCGATTTTCGGCATCTTTTGTTCTACCATGTTAGCTATTTATGAAAATCTTCATAAAATAAGAAACAAACATTCACATTGGACTGCCACAACAATGCTTGCACGAGATTAATATCATGCTGAGTCATATTTGAAATTCTTATAACTATTTACTCGCATCGTTATTCAACATGGAATAACAACGCTTTATTCATATGCCTCTTGAATAACAAACTTGTGTTTGAAAACTAAACTAAAAAAACTGTACATTGACAATTGCTTTCCAAATGTTGCTCACTAATAATGTAAGCTGGCCCGGAAGTCATTAAAATGGGCCCAACTATGCGTTCCTAATCAAGAGGTTACTTACATCACGGGTGATTTCTATTCGTTTTCTGTGCTCAATTACAAAAGTGTATCTATAATTCCTTTTAACATTTAACCATACATATACACACATATTCTGTCTTGAGTATGTAACCAACATACATACTTTGAGCTATATATATATATATATATATACAAGCCTACCACCCCCTCAAATTTGCTTAAACATCACATCAGTAGTTCTTCAAATTTGACCGATCTATGTTGTTAAAGCACCCAAGTTTCCCTGCGTTTCTAGCAGTAGGAGACTAAATGCAAAATACGTGGTTTATCAGTTAACACAACACTCGATGGACTCAGTTAGATGACTAAACGATGTGCTTATAAAAACCCTAAATAATAATGTCTGTGATTGAAGCAGATAAATATTACAAAGTCAATTTAATGCGGATCATTAGCTCATCTAATAAGCTTCAGTTTTGTCGCGAATTACGTTTAGCTGTGATAAAGATAAAATTCGTGTTGTTTTGATAAAGTTTTGTGAATTTATTTTTAAACTCTGCAGACCAAGTTTATAACAAAGCATTGACAAATTTCCTCGCTTCCACAAAGTCGATAAATATCGATCTCCAATTTATGTTTTTTGTGGCGAGTGGCGACACGCAATGACGACTAACCAAACCGCCCGTGTAAAAACATTTTAATTCATAGAATCATTAAATCAGAAACATTATTAAAAACAAATTTGTGCAAGGCTTACTCAACGATGTAATACCCTGCATTCCGCAACGTACATTTGGAAATACATGAAAGAGGCACGCACAACCAAACACACAAACACAAACAAGCTTCTAAATTGGCATTGCAACAATTAAATCCATATATGTCAAAGCTGTTATAAAATCGCATGAAAAATGTTCTTATAACTCTAAATGCAGTCTAAATTCCAAATGCCTTAAGGCTCAAACCCATGTAACGATTTATTTAAGCTGCAAACCGAACTAATCCTACCATAGCGATATCTATTGCAATCACAAATTGTAAATCAAATTAACATGGCATCATTTTATGTTGCCTACTTTTGTGCGCCGGGCAAATTTCAATGCACTCATGACTGCGCCTGAGAGGATTGGACAGCAAGTGCATAAATGGTGACCACATTGTCCAACAACTAACAAAACAAATAAGCCAAATAACCATGCGACATCTAAATTTATATTTGCAATGAGATCTGATGAGCCTGATTAAATGTACAATAATATAATTGCGGGATTGTTGTTCGAAACGAATTTCGATATAATGATTGGCCGAGCTCACATGTATTTTGGCAGGGACTAGACGTCTGGCATGACTCATGTGCGGCAATTCGAGCGCCTCTCGGCCACGTTATGCACAAAACTAGCTGAAAATGCAAATTAGCGACTGCCACGCCCAAATGGATTGCGTTAGAAACTATCGTAGGACCAACGAAATTTGTGGCTTGTTGTTGCACTAATTAAACTCGCTGCACAGCTAATTGGCAACAAAATGCGCAAATGTAAAGCAGGCTAAATTTCCTGTGGTTTTTGCATGTTGCTGCAGTAAATTGCATTAACAAATCAAAGTTGAAAAGTGTTCAGCTCAAGTTAAGAAAGGTTTATAATTCTAATAATTCTAAGAATTATTCTCATTATTTTTGTACTGATAATTTTGATGCACATCCACAATTCTCGTACCAACTTCTTTCTTAATCTTCTATAATCAAAATGTTTACTTTGATAGACGTTTTCCACTGGTTGTTGGTAGCCGCCATAATCTGTAGTCTATATTCGCCAGTCGGCAGTGGCAGAAATTCGAAATATTCTGGCTTAAATACCAAGTCGCGCACAATAAAATCATGCTATAATAAATATTACACACATTACTCGATCACTTAGATATCTGAAATGCTTTGAAGAAGCAAGGTCATACTCACATCATATGGACACGAATGATTCATGTTCGAATTTTTCGATAAAACGTCAAAAATGATCTTTTTAAACGATAATTTCTGATTGGACGTGGCCATTAACTTGCAAAAGTCGAAGGTGGTGTTGAACATAAATGGCCGATAGCCGCTGAATTTGCGAAACAGGCTGAGATTTACCTAAAATGAATAGAGTTCAACGCGAGTTACATTTCAAAGTTGTGCTTACCAACTTTTGCATTCTTGAGTGGCCCCTGATACATCCTTGCGTGCACATTCAGGCCGATAATACCGCGTCCTAGCACTTTCAGCTTGCATTGGCTGTAGGTGAAATAGTCAGGATCCAAAATTTGGCACTCCAAGCCCGTAAACTTAGAAGGAGTAGACGAGAGAGCTCCCGTGATCATCAGCACGAGCCCAAATGGTAGCCACATCGTCTGTTAGCTAACAAAACCCTTAAACGAATAATTGGGAAATTCTTCCAACATTACAACTATAATCGAGTGAGTTATTTGTTTTTCAAAATATTTGCTTAACTATCAATCTGTAATAACTTATTTAATAGAGTTCAAATGCTAAAACGTTCAACATTTAAACTCTAAAAATTCTTATCAGTTGCCTCAACTCATTAAGCGACTCAGTCAGGCCTGTAGTTAAATGACAAATGCTCGAATTGGCCAATCTGTGCTCACTTTATAAATCATGAAGTCAGGGAAACGTCACACAAATATATGTTTATACTATATACAAATATAATCAACCAGAACTCGGAGCATTATAATGTGAAAGGCTTTGGTCAAGTTGAAAAGTGGAAGTCACAGAAATTTCTTGATGTGTTCCAGTTGCAGTTGGCTGTGCCATTTCACAGTTTGTGTGGCAAGCACAAGTTGAAAGCGAAAAACAAAAGTTCTGGCTGGGGTTTTTGAATTTGAAAACATGAGCAAAGTTTTCACTTTGAAAGGCAGCTGGGCGTGGCAGTTGTGTGCTTACCGTTGATTAGAGATTCATTTATTTGCATTTCGTTATGCAAATATTTTAGCATCCATGGAAAAATTGTCAGGCAACAAAATAACATAAATTATGCAGCATATTTTACCAGAATATTTTCTCTGTAATTTTGCTGGGCAACCGGAAAATTAATAATTTGAGTAATTAGTCGCGTGATTTTTGACATGGCATAACTTACCGCCCGCTCTGTCATTTGCATAAATTTTAAAGTAACTTTGAGCAGAGTAAAAAAGGTCCTGCGGCAGCCAGTCATAAATTTGTACTACCATAATTATGACTGAGATTGAGCGCCCGAAACTTTGTCGACAGCCAGGGGAAAATAATGAGTGAGATATAAAAACAAGCTTAGGTACAACACCTTCGGAAAATCGCTTCAGAGCGCCTCTGTATTAGGCAGAATAACTGAAACTCAATCAAAAACTTTGTCTAAGCTCTGCTAAACTTGTTGCTAGCTGCTGTGTAATTGTAAAAGTGTGTGTGTGTATGTGTTGGTTGTATAAACAGGCAACTTAGTTGCCATTATTAACAAGTTTTCCTTATGCAAATGAGCGCTGAGCAACAACAACAAGAACTAAACAAGAAGTGCACAAACCACAATAAATGAATACCACACAGAGCAAAACTTTGCAGCATATAAAGAGTTATACCCTTTCAGGGGGTATTTAAGTTTTGTCATGAAATGTGCAACTCAAACTTCTGAGTTGATTCGATGGCATTTGATTTTGATTTTCAGCAAAAAAAAAATGGAAATGAAATAAATCTTTGGCATTCTTTAGCGAGCAGTTCCTTTGTATTAGTTACATAGCAATATATCTTGACTGGCTGCTCGCATTCTGATTGAAAATGCAAAAGTAAATGAAATTGATGAATGTTAAAGTGACAAGCGGCAGTTGGTATTGGCCCTTGTCAGGCTAACAAATGGTTGGGGCTGGGTTTTTGCTCTACAAGAACCAAGTGCAGCTCAATCTCAATCAATTTGGCGGCCAAGAGCAGAGCGGTATGCCCAAAAGATTACGCTTGGCTTTCATAACTGGCCGCAATTACATAGCCTCCCTGTGACCTTTAAAGCAGCCCATTGATTCGCCAATGTGGCCCCTCTTCAGCCACGCTCAAAACCTTGTCATAAATCAATCCAAGCGAAACTTTCGCCAATGCATTAAAAGCATTACAAAAGGCACCATTTTTTTTTCTTCACTGAGCCGCGTATGCTGTCATGTCTTTGTCATGTTGAACAAAAGCAGTTGCTAGTTGCCAGCGGCAATGGAGGCAGCGACCATGTTACGTATACGCCCCCGTAGGCATGCATGCAAAGGACATCACGGCAAATGAATGAATGGCAAACCCAAAGCAATCTATTGTGTGCTTGTGTGTAATGCTCTGCATGTGTGTGTGTGTGTGTGTGTGTGAATGTGTATGTGTGGCTGCCATGCTTAGTACAGTTTCTGTGCTGTATTATCTCTGGGTGGGTGTGAGGACTTTGCATGTTCGCTTTAAGCATGTTCGCCTGGCATTTGATTGTTTTGCTTGTGCCGAGCAACGCCTGCAAAATCCCTATACATGCCAAGTAACTAAATATATTTATCATGCTCATTTATATGCATTCGCCCAGCGGCCATATCGAATATATAGCATCTAGATATACGTGTTTGGTATGTACATGTATTCATATCAGAATATATTGTTTTCTGGGTGTGGACTAAGCAGTTGTTGTACGCTTAAGTTGTTGTTTGTGGCTCTTTAAGTCCCGCTCTTAAGTTTGTCATCCTACTAGGTTCCACATGCAGCATGCAACACGTACCGCAGAGCGTAGCAACCACAACCTGAACAAAAACCAGCTTCATTTCGGTTTCGTTCAGAAAACTAGTTTGACAGCTCTCCGCTCAGCTGCCAGTGTAGATGCCATTGATACCAGAATAAAGCAATAAGAACTCTCCCGAATTGGCCAAAGTTCATTGCCATGATATTAGTATGGCGAGTAGAAGTATCGCAATGAAAGTGAAGATGCAAATAGTTGCTGAACAGGTCTCGGTTTTGGACATAGTTGGCATAGTTCCACGACAACTGCATAGAAAAATAATACAACAAATAAAAACAAAAGAGCAATCGTGCGAATTAAATAAAATACGAGCGCAGCAGACAAAAGTTATATACATAAATTATATTGATATATGGCGTCAAATAGTTGCAGCAATTGCAAAAGTGCATCGGGCAAATAAAACATTGAAGCATTGACATTTCGAAATGCTTTCAATACACATGAGCGCACATCAATAACACATTTTCAGCTAACCGAACGCGCCACCAAATGCTGCTGCTCCATTCCGGAGACTTGCTAGTACAGACAGCGAAAAATTATAATGGATATCATATACTTGTGTATGCCATATACGTCTGTGTGTAAATGTGAAATGCGAAATGGCAAAAGTTTTTGTTCACTTTGCAAATGGCAAAAATTATCGCTAGACCGTGAAAATGAGCATAGACTGCAGTTCGATTTTTGATTTTTACGCCAGAGGCTTAGCTAATGGTAGTTATAATTTTAAATAGTCATTGAATAAATATTCATAATTTAGCCTAATGAGCGTAAATTAATGCATATTTAATGCAAATTTCTATTTAATGAGTTTTGAAAATTAAATCACCTGTACTTTTTATGGGTAGACAAAACAGTCTAGATTCGAAATATATGCATTTTATTGTTTGAAAATATAGACCCTTATTAATTATACCTACTCCGGAAATTGTAGTATTAATTTTTAGCACAATTTGTTCATATTCAACTAATGCATGAATTAAGTTCTATGATCTTTACCTTAGATGTACATATATTTTATTTGGGAAATTTATGTGTCAGCTGTATTCCGAAATGGTTTTCGTTTTCCGTAGCTTGCACAACATTAACCGCATCATTACGTTTGCATTCATTGCACAACGTGACATTTCAATTGGCCCAAGTTGGGTCGAAAGTGCGCGCCAAGACTACATAAATCCGTAGCGGATGCCTGCTAACCGCTCCCCTAAGTACAATGCCACACACACAAACACACACATACTCCCACTCCCGCACCCACATACGCTCGTAAGTCAGCCAAATGCACTGGGCACGTATAGCAAAAACTCCGCCGTAAAATGTTGGCAAACTAGCGACGAGGGCAACGCTAAAAAGTGTAAGAAAATCAGCAACTAAATGGCTGGCGGGCTGTTGTGCGCGTGTTGGGAAAGGGGATGAGCTGCCAGGGGGCCATGCACATTTTGCTACTTAAAGCCACAAAAGCCACACACGCACACAAAGTCGCGTGCACACACACACACAAACGCACACAGATACAGATCGCATACAATGCGACGGCGTCTTTATCACCGCCATTGTTGTTAATTTTGCAAGGCTGGCTGCCAGCTTTGCGCCGGAAACGGAAACTAGCGGCACTTGGCTGTCGCGGCAACGTCACGGCTAATGTGTCGGTCTGTGCACGTGTGTGTGTGTGTGTGTGTGTGTGCGACATTTACAGTTGAATTATGAGCGCACATAAATAAAATGTCGTTTGGAATGGCAGCGACAAAATGGCTGCTAAAATTTCCGTAGCGCACAGCACGGGAAATTACCTGAACTGCGTCGTTGACACGAAATTGAGCCCGCAAAATGTGAGTACGCACACATTGACATAAGACTTCTAATGTGCTGGCAGCAGCATAGAATTAAATAACACTTAAGAGCCGTGAACTCAATCAAACGCTGAGCCATTTCAAGCTGTCAAAGTCAGATGGCAGAAACAGACAGTCGAATGTAAGGACTCTGCCCATAGCCATGCCACACACAAACTGTTGTCTGTCTGTAGATTAAATATTTACATTTGTTTGCCAGTTTTTAAGTGTTTCGCCATCTGATGATGTATTCAATTTGGTTTTAATCCCTTTTCTGGGGGGCTCACGTTATACAATATTTATTCGCACTCATGACATGCATATTTAAAACGGCTCGCTTCTAACCTTTTTGAATTGATTTTTGGCAAAATTGTTGCTTGATTTGAATAAAGCAAATACCGAGAGAGGGTCGGAAGAGGGGGAATGAGACAGATAGCTTGAGAGTCGCTGTTGAAATATGCATGCCGACATTTTGGGCAAAAGCCACAAAGCTATCTTCAAGCTATCCACATTGCACATTCTGTAGCTTGAAACTGGCAACAATTCATCTGCCCCATATAATACAAATGTTTCAGCTAGCTGCTGCAGCCGGCGGCTGGGGGCATGTCCAGAAACAAGTCGGGGGTCAGCAGTGGCAGCAGCTACAGCTGTAGCAGCAATTGGAGTGACAGCCAACTGCAATATTTATTTATTTGTTTCTTGCTTTGCTATTTTCAATTTACGTTTACAATAATTCAGCAAACGTGGAAATGGACAGCTATAAATTCGACTGGGCAAACACGCA